GTAAAACTGAATAGTAGATACTTGCAAAATGATTTGTTCCCTCTTCTACATCAGCCAACTCCTCTGGCATACAATAAACTCTCAAAACATATAAGAAAAATACAAAGAAAAATGTAGAAGAAACCATTAGGACCTCAAACCCAATAGAGGAAAAGGAAATTAAGAAAAACTCTCAAAATATTCTTTTCCAGTGTCTCCAACTCTCCTCTCAGTTAAGAATGTTTCAATTCGTGCCCTAGCTTCTCTTCTAAGCATTCAACAAAATTTGGCATGAAAAGCCCTTCCAAAATGAGATATGACAGTCTAGTGGCATGGTCACAATAGAACTCGGTGTGGTCACGCCCGACCAAGCATGGTCATGCCAGACATCACTATATGACATATTTTGACCTCGTTTTGCATGTTAGACATCTACAAAACATCAAGAAAAACATTTCTCAAGAATAAATATATGATAAATAAGTGAAGGTAACATGTAAAATGTAGAAGAAAATGTATGGAAAATCATTTAAAATTAACGCATGTCAATACCCTAAATGTTACCCTATTACTTGCCCTCAAGTAATCATATGACTCAGCTTAGATTAGTAGGTTTATAACTATTTAACTTATTTACCAAGACTAAATTAAAGTGTTTAAATGTCTTTAGGATCATTTATCTTTAATGGTTAATGACATTACCTTTCCTTAGTTCCCTTATTTCTTTTCTTAAGAAAATCCCAAAGATCTTTAAATTGGTGTTATTTAAAGTCTCTCTCACTAACCTTAAATGTCTTTAAAATAGTTTCAGTGGATTTTAGCCAACTTAATGCTCAGTTAACTCTTGCCCTTGAAAATAACTTCTAACGTGGTTTTAATTAACAAATCAAGGCAAAGTTTATCACTAAAATCTCACAAGACCCTCTTTTGATTTCTTTTCTTTTCTTGATTTTTTGTTGTGCCAACCTGATTTCTTTTCTTTTCTTGATCTTTTTTTGTGCCAACATTAATCTTCTCCTCAAAGACTTTTCAATTTTTTTTTTTAACTTTTGCGTTTTTTTCTTTTTCATTTTCTTCTGATAATTACTATATCTGGTTGACAGCTTTTCTTTTCTAACTCTTAAATGTGAAGAAGTGGAGCGTTTCTTAATTAATAAAACTAAATCTCGATATTTTTAATGTTCCACCTTAATTTATTTTCTTCAGTTAAAACTTAATATCACATCAATTTGGTTAAAATAGACTGAAAAAGATTAAATATATATTTGGTTTGTTAGTCAAAATCACACGTTTTTAATATTCTATGGGTGCTTTTTAAGTAAAGATTGCAATTGTTAAGTTTTGAAATTATATTATTAACTCATTAAAGTTAATCTTTTCTAATGATCTTTATCCACTTTTAAAAATTCATGAAATGCAATTTAAATTATCAGAAGTCCTAACAGGAAGTTACAAAATGAGATGAATTTTTTTTTTTTTACTGAGCTTTGTGAACTGCTGCAATGGTCTGTATAAAGTGTTGCGAAAACTTATTTTTTTAGTAGTGAAGGGTGCTTGAGCAACATCAAAGAGGCTCGTCGACACCTCATAGTAATGGCTAAGAGCAAAAATTATAATTATTTTTTGAAATTTACACAACACAATTTTAATGTATTTACATATCTCACAACTAAACTTTGATATTTATATGCATTACACTTTGGTGCTTTAAACTTATGCATGAAAACAAATATTTTACTTTTATAAAATGGTAATATTATTATTTTTTATGTGATATTAAAAGTTGGTGCTCTGTGTCTAAATATGAACAATTAGGTGTGAGTATGTAAATACATAAAAATTGTTTCTTGTGTATGAAAAAGCCAATTTTTTTTCAATAAAACTTGAAGTTCAAGATTTATGGATGAGAGGAGGTTTGCTAGGCTAAAGAACGGCCTAAAGCAATGGATTTGGGTTCTTTTAAGCGCCTCTAAAACAATCCTTATTCTATAGGGATTTGAGTTAATAAGAGAAAAAATATCACCTAACATGGCTGGGGGCAACGGCCTCAAGCATGCCATTACTTTTTCATTTTTAATTTATTATAGCTTTCCTCTTTCAGTTTCAGCAAAAAAAAAAGGGCGGGAGGTAGAGGAGGAAATAAGAGAAGCAAGACAAGTAAGGGTGTAAATGAGCCAAACACGAGCGAGCCTGAGCTCAACTTGTGTTCGGCTCATTAAGAAATATCACTGTTCATATTCAACTCGTTTATATTCCAAACATTAAAAATTTATTTGTGTTTGACTTGTTTGCTTAGCGAGCCGAACACGAGCAGTTCGCGAACAAAGAACCGTTTTGGCAACCTTAGTCACGCATGCAACTATTAAGGGTGCAAACGAGCCGAGCTAGAGTGAGCCCAGACTCAACTTGTTAAAAAATATCATTCTTCGTGTTCGACTCATTTATATATCGAGCTCAAAAAATTTATTTGTGTTTGTCTTATTTGTTTATCGAGTCAAACACTAACTCTTCACGAATAATGAGTCATTTTGACAACTCTAGTCACACAGTCGTAGAATGTTAAGAGCAGGGCGAGATTTAAATCTTATTAGTTATATTGAAATATTCAATTAAATAGAATTTAATTTATTTTTATTCTATTTTCAATTAGTAATTTTAATTGATTATAAATCTATGTAGCTTTATAGTCAAATAAATTATTTAAAAATAATACTCATTAATATTACATATATAATTTAATTATTTCGACCTAAAAGGAGCCAAATACAAACAAACAAAATTTTATTCATGTTCGACTCATTTATATATTTTGCACAAAAAAATTATTAGTTTTCTGCTGGTTTTCTTAACAAACGAATCGAACACGAGTTACTTAAAAAGCCAAACACGAGCGGTTC